ACATTCAAGTCTCCAGCAAGTACTACAATATCTCTCGAACTCACGTTCTGTAGAAGAACTGTTAACTGGTGGCAAAACTCATCCTTGATCGCATCCGGGCTACAATATGTCTGAGAATATGCATGGATGACGAATAGACATCGTTTATCACGCCGATTTCTTCTCACTTTGATGGAGCTTTCTGATCTAACAGCACATAATCGACTGGTAATGAGGATCCAATTGATCGGCGCCGCCTCAAATTTAGCTCTTAGAGCAACATCAATGCCAGAAAAACTAGACGAAGATGTCACGGGGTCCCCGGATAAACGCACGTAAAACAAGATTTACGAAGTGATAGATAGAGAGTGGGTTTTTAGCACTTCACTAGAATCTTAAATACGGGTCTCACATAGACAACATACATCGATATTAAGACTTTCTAAAGGCATAGCTAACCCTATCTGTTGTCCGATCTGCATTGGTGTGCGAACGTTGAAGGAGGCGAATTTGAATGGTATAAGTGGTTTTGGTAATACTGTGTCAGTATTCGTGGTCGGTTGTAACATTCAACTTTCGACTTATCAGTGACTTGAGATTGTTTAGACGGGATAGGGTTTCTACCACAGGTGAGCTGCTGAGTAAGTTAAAAAGTAAAACGCCTAAGTGACTTGATATAAATGAAATAAAAACGAATGTTGCCATATGACTGGTAATAAGATTTATACGAGAGAGTATTGAAGCAAGATAAAATTTTCCAGACATAGTAATCATTGATTTGTGTGAGGTCTATGATATTACTCGAGTACCCAAACCGAAGCAGGTGGTTTTTTTGGAGGCCACACTTGAGCATTTGACCTGAAGGTCTAATCCACTAGTTATTGGAGCAACGTTAGGCGATGAAGTCCCATGGTAGCCGGTGTCCAACAATTGGCCCATATACCATTGGTTCACTCAGGTTACATGGAGCCGCACCCACCAACCCGGTCAAGGCGCCTGGATTCCTCAAACGACATCCCCGTTGCTATAGGGTAGTCCGTAGGACTTCACTGGCAGTAGTTGTAAACGCGTGGCCATATGAGAGCATTTCGAGAGGAGTGCGAACTTCCTTCACCCCCCAACGTACCAGGGAATGCGGGGGCTTCATACGCATGACTCTTGTTTATCACCACATCTAAGTGAATTGGGTTTCAGAATTTGAAATTAAAAAATTGCACAACAAGAAAAATTAGGAAGAAAACGGAAATAGTATTGAAGAGCACCTGCAAATGAATGCAGCCCAGTATGATTTTTCAGAGTCGATGCATTCATCAGCAAAACTAGTCGCTTATTTTCTGGCTTTCAACCGTCACAGTCCCCAATATATCCAAGGCATTCAAAACTAGATACACAAAGTGAACACTTGTTTGGATTCATGGTAATTTCCTTCTCAACTACATGGCGCAATAAATCAATAAGTTTTCGATCATGAGTTATTTTATCGAGATCATGAATAATAGATCCATTGCGATAAACTCCCACACCTTTAGGATCAAGGACTAAATTATTCATCTATTGCTGATTACTGCCAATTGGAAGGAAATCATACTTCATTAGACCTAAAAACAGTGGTAATTGTTGTCAGAACAGACGAGGATTGATTTAAAGAGATTTGAGTGTACGCATCTTTTGAGTCAACTTTCGAGAATTCATTGGGACCATGAAGTCGATTTAGAATATCATCAGTTTCCACCGTCGAGCATGTTTGCTTCTACAAACGGGAGTTCAATGTTAATCTATAGCCACCACATATTCCAGGGATCTTGCCATAAGACTTAAAGCGCACAACGTTAGGAGTACCCTCTGCTGAAATCTCAAACGGTTCAGTTATACTTTTCGCACACAAATAGATCGTCTCATTTACTGCGTCTCGAAGACCATGAGGAATTATTTGTCGTTCAAAAAAACTGGATTTTTCTGTAGTTGAAGTTTTTGGGCTGAATTCCCATCTTTCCGCTGCACTGAGCGAACGCGTCTATCAAGTGAAACAGTAGGATCTTTTTCAGAAATCAGCAAATATAGCTTCTCTTTAACCCTTAACAAATCTTTCAAATCCAGTATTGACGATCCTGTTTCACTGATTAAAAACTCACAGGGCATGTGTGAAGAATTATCATCTCCTATTGGCAATTCACAGCATCCTTCCATGAGCAGTTTGCGTTCAGTAATCCCCACTACTGGGACTTCAGTGGGTCGTACCACAACGTTGGAATATAACGATTTCCAGTTGTTAAAAAAATAATCGACTCTATACTGTCTGTGTTCACAACAAAGTAATGAAGTGAAACGAGGGATGTGTATAATCACCTCTGAACATGGACATTACCTTTCGAAGTCATCGACTGAAATATACTGTGATCAGATACATCTAACTTAATAAGGTTGGAAATACGGGGAATGTCATCACTGGTGGCAAAGCGAACAGTAGCTTTGCAGACCAACTTGATGAGTCCCATTTTACTACATTTAAAGCGTTTAGCGTGACAAAAGACACATGAATTACGTGAGTGTAATTCACCACAGAATAAACATTTACTGAAGCTGTGCCCACCTCTGTAAAGTGATTTACAACTCTTTGTTAAATCACTTTCTATATTTCCAAGAGAAGGGGAACCAGTAAGGGTGTAGTTCATCACGACGATCAGGCAAAATATTAGAAGTTTTCATCGACTGAGAATCAAGATCACTTACTAATTCATAGTAAATGATTGCTGTTTCAATTTCCTGGGATAAACTTTTGAGCTTTTGAATTAATTGTTTTTCTGAATTCGAAATATTTATCCCAACGATTGACCGATCATGAAGTTGAGTTTTCAATTGATCTTCAAGATTGGACTTCGTGGCTTGTTTCTGTATTTCAGGCGTGAAATCTTCAGCTTTCTGATCATTTTGTTGCATTGTTATAGAAAACATCGACCTTTCTCTGCATTCAAAGTTAGCTAGAAAATTTTATCAAGTCCTAACAAACTGACAAGGCCAAAAAGCTCTGGAAAATTCATGCGGCTTCCTCACTCCTTTCATTACTTCTCGCAATCGGCTCGTTTAATTTATTGGTTTAACTTAAAAAATTGAAAACTCAAAGAATTTTTTGTACGCATATTTGTTTATTTTTAATGTGAACAACAGCTTATCAGATACCCACTCTTACAAAGTCACTTTCTCAATACGTATTTCCAGTTTAGTTCCAAATTTTTCTCCCCATCCTGAAGTGATGAACGGAACAAAGCTGTCAAATATCTGTAGGGCCAGTGAAATGTCATTGAACTCCAATCAAATCCTCCAACAGTCTAGTCACTAAATGTCGAACAGTTCACCAATTCTCGTCCACGTGGAGGTCAGCCAAGGCTCATCAGTTTATCACATGCCATTGACTGGCCTGTGCATTAATGGTAGCACTCTGATCCTTGTACAGAACCTTACTTAAATATTTTTGCATTAACCTCATTTGTGTTGCATGTTCATTAAAACGGCAGTAGTACCTGGATAATTCACCTTAGGTACTGATCGTGAGGTGTTAATTCGACGTTAGCAGGTTGGTCGCACCATTATCGTCTAACTGGAATAGACCCCTAGTTATTTGATACATAATCTACGTCGGTTATATGCATATCTATGTTCATTATGCAACTCCCCAGTATAAGGAATTGAAGTAGTGAGTTATCTGAACAATTCCCGCTAACAGTAAGCATATTGAGCTTCACCTCGTCGGTGGAATCATGGGGCACTCCTCATAGTTCCACAAGGGGGGAAAAACTGTATCTGCAAACAACTTCAATGACGATAAGGGTTGGAAATATATGGTAACAACGGTGATCTCGATGATGTTTTAATGGGGACTAGTAAGTGAATGTTGACCATAAAACAGCAACACAACCCTACATGAAAGACCCAATCACTCATGAATACACAACGGAGAATACTGAGAATTTTCTACCCTACTGTAGTGAAATATACTTTTTTCTTAACTATAGCGCTAATTTGTCTTTCTGACAAAACTTGCTGAAATAAACACTTCGGAACCACTATTGTCCACCTGCGTGGGAATGATTCACTTTAACAGGTATTAGGCATAGTCCGATACACTGAGAACACAGAATATTGTAAAATTATAAATATCTTGTTGAATTCGAAATGGTCTAACGACTTGCTAGTTTCTCTAAATAGTCTGAAACTAATACACGGTGTAGGCAAGAAGTCAAAATGTATTGGTTTATCAAATCAAACTAAAGTACTCCACAAAACACTTGTTTTTGTGCTTAGTGTATGCGTTAATAACTACACTGGACAAATTTATATTTCTGCCTGTGTATGTGAGGTATTTTTTCAGACATACCCAAAAAATTTCAACTGCATATTTATTCTTTCGAATCCCACATTACTCTAAAGTTTAGATTGTTTCTTTGCGGATTTCTCTAGTGGTTACCAAATAAAGTGTTTCTCGAGTATTCGCTGAGTCATTGGTTTAGGATTTTCTTTAGTTTCTGATTCGTACAGATACCATAGGTATTCGGAGTTTGACAACCCGTTTACTCGTAACACCTTTATGATTGAAGTATGCTAACACAGTCAAACCACGAGTAAGGAATAAAGTGGTTTGAAGATGTTCTTTGAAGGCTATAGATGCATCCGGAAGCGTCTAGTCTAAGCTGGTTGACAGTTGCAAGGGGTGCGTTGCTAGGCGTACCCACTCGTGATCTGGTGACGATGCATGACTGAGCACCTTCTGCTAGATGTGTCCAGTAAAACTAATGGGTTGAGCATTAATGTCAAAGACTTGAAGAACTATTTATTTCGGGGATTTATTTACAGCTACAATAGGTCCTACTTCATGGGCGCAGATTATCCATCCTTACAAGAAACTTGTTGCCAAAGTAGGCATAAACATAACAGTAGTTGAATGTGTTGTCCTCTTGGTGACCGGTGAGAGGAAATAAATGAAACTAAATAAAAAAATGTACATTACGTTTCTGTTGTTTGTTTACACTATTTTGCATTCATCCTGTGTACTTGATGTAACAGCCGTCTTTTCATATGTGGTGGACAGTTTACTGTTATAAGTCAGCTGTGTAAACTTTTTAAAATTTTCTCATTTTGTAGTAACCTGACTTTGTAAATATGATTTCATCATATGAACTTTTTTGCGTATTTAATTCCATGTTATTTATATATTATCCATAGAGAGTTATTTGGTTTTTTGTTGAAAGTTTTCGAAAACAGTTTCTGCACATGAATGACTAATTCCTCTCTATCGTTTAATTAATGCTATTTAACATACACCTTTTTGAGGTTGCTAATAAATCTTGATCAGTGAAACAGGTTAGTATAAGCATTTCTAGATAAGTCAATTGATTGAGTCTGGTGTGGCATTTAGAAGTGTGATCAAATAATCTTTTGCTTAGTGTAATGTAAATACTTAAAATCTTAGTAACTTTTAAGTTCACAGTCTTGGTTAAAAATTAATTTTATTTGGACCGGCCTCTGATTTTGAATACCTTATGCATATATTATCTATTTTAGACCCCTGGTTGACTTGGTTGATGTCAGCTAGCGTAGAAATAATTTTTTAGAATCGTGACGCTGGCTATGTAAATATTCTTTGTTATGTTTAAACTAAGACCTCTTGTGAACTGATTTTTGGCCAGCTGCAGCAGTTGAGCTGTATTTACATATAATTTTCTCGAAATCTTTATCCTGATACCGCCCGGTTGTTTCGTTCTGTGGTTCTTTTTTTGTCTTGAAGTACATTAGAGTTTTTATCCTAATAATTTCATTTCATTATGACTCGTTTCTATCTTAACATAAAACGTAACGGTTTGAGCAAGAACACATTTGTTCAGAGTCCCATGTTGTCTATGACTGACCGATTGGTAATGCACCTGTCAATTTACTTTTACTACGCTTCTTGGATTATTTGGTACCAAACGTTGTTCATGTTTTATGTCACAACACTGAGTATATTTTACTCTTCATATGTCATCAGATTGAGAAATTTTGTGCGGTAAAATATATCTTAAGTATCTTAGACCCTAGGTAGTAATTCAATAACATCACACTCGCTTGTAATAGAGGTAAGAAGAGTAATCAAAGTGCCAACATTTATTAGCGTTGTTACTTCATCTTTATAACCATGAATAAACTGTTTTTGTAGTTTCACAATCTTACAATGACTGTTTCAGAGGAAATACAAATTTTTCCAATCAACCCAGAAACAGTCTTTCTTGATAATCGCATTTTTAAACCTACATAGTACATAAATGAACAGACATTTCTTCTTTCGGTGATTGAGTAGGCAGTTCAATCTATATATCCGCAAGTAACTAAATAATTTGAAATCTATTAAACGTGAAAAATATTTATTTATAGGTATATCTCTTCCTTTTTAAAGGTAGTGAAGGAAAATATTGAAATGTCTTATCACTCATTAATCAAAGTACAAATAACATAGATTCACATGAAATATTTCTACATAAACACATATCTATGACACTTTTGACGTCAGTCATCACATATGAGCAAGTTAAGGCCATCAACCTATAGGATGCTTCTTACATTTCGCCGTTTTTATCATAAACATAAGCTAATTGTATACTAAAGGTTTGTGGTGATAAAATTTTGGCATTTGGATATAAAAGGTGATGAAAAAAGCACAATGGTATATTTAAAGATTCTTTACCGTATAGTGTTCCTTTTTTGTTGGTAAGATGATATGGACAAGTAGCAGACTATTATTAAAACTAAGATTTATTTCGAACTTTTTATACTTTTTTTATAGTGTTATACTTGTAAGTATCTGGACATATACTGCTCTTGTCCTAAACGTTTTTAAACTTAAAATGATTTTCTTTTTTCTTTATGATAAAGAAAAGTTACGTAAAATAATATTTGGGAGTAGATGTTCTAACCCTCATTCTTTCTCAATGAGAGCACAACAGATTGACAGCCAATCAACAACGTGGACTAGGCCAAATTTATGCGGACCGCCAGCGCTAATGGATCAGAATACTTCTCAAGTTGTTCCTCCACATTTAACAAACTCAGGTCATCCGCAACAAATTATGCTACAACATCAACAACAAAGAGGTTCTAATCCTGTTTTTCAAAGCCCGTTAAACATTATACAAGCCGGACCAATTAGATCAGGCTTGCAAAATCCCAGCCTTATTTCACCAAATCCAGCTTCCTTGGGTTTTAGACGACTATTGGCAGAGATGCGTAAGTTACAATATGTTTGGTTGATTGCGATAATTGCTTAACACATGAATATCATAAACAAAAAGCTTCGAGCCTAACGGCCCTTTTGCGAAGAAACAAGAATATTCAATGTTGTTACGGATGTTATCTGGAATTTTAAAATAAACTTTTCAGTTTAGAAGTGCTATGGTCTTACCAAATAAAACCGACTACAAACATCCCTAGTTATTTGCCATTTCGCCATAAAGAAAAATATTCAAGCAACTGCTGAATATACTAAATAATCTTAAACAAGAAAAATAGTTGAAAACAATTTGAAAGTACTTAATGTCCACTGAGAAATTTGAAAAATTAATAAGATGAAGAAAAGAGGGTTTAACCCAGAGGCTTGATCTTTCAACATAAATATAATCAAATGCATTAATTACATGTGGTTTCGGATAAAATAGCAAATGTGAATTATTCATCAAGTTCATAATTTGGTGATGTACGCTGACATGTGTCAAGTGCATCCAATGTCTCAGTTGATTACTTACACTTATTGCTCCTCATGGAGCAGCATAGACCGCTTACCACCTCCGTCCTCGGATATCCCTTCCAGTTTATTATCACGTCTCATCTAACATCAGCTCTCTTTCCTAATTTCCTCTTCGTCTGGAAGTTGGATTACTCTATCCAGTGGTAGGTTTCACTTGCGGTATCCGGCCAACAGATCTGAAAAATCGTGCGTAAACAATGTTTTATGAATACCTGTACTTTTTTGATGATAGTTTTAATAGCTCTCCAAGTTTTAATTCCGTACAATTGAACTGCCTTGACGTTCGTATTGAACATTCTGACTTTGGTGTTGGTTGATAGTTGGTTTGAGTTCCATATATTCTTCTATTATAGAAATGCTGATTCCCTTTCTATTGTATTTTAAGACCCCGCTTTTCCCGTTGTGCATATTGAGAACCATCGATGTAGAGACTTCTACTACATTGGTTATCTTCAGCTAAATTGTTCAGTCAGTCACAGCGTAGAACTTCGTACGTACATACATCAGTTCGAGTTGCCATAACACATTAGCACAGAGATGCAGTTGTCAACTCAAGTCCCATAGTGGTAGAAGTAGTAAGAGCATAAGCAGTAGTCGAAAAGATTAGGGTTTGAAGATGTTATTGAAGGAGTATAATCCAGTGAAATAAATTTGGAAAGAGAAAAAGATAGAGACATAAAGAATTCAGAAGATAAGAATTTGGTAGAACACAAAGAGTGGATGCACCTTCGCCATTGCAAACGATTTTGAGCCACGCCATTCAAGATCTCTAACCATCGGTTGTTATCATCTCGCGGATCCCAACTAGGTAGTCTGCACCTACCAACATGGCTCAGTCCACTTGTCAGTGACTTCATGGATTTGTGCCGCGTTTTGATCTGGCCTCCCCTAGCTTTCTTCCAACCTACTTGTACACCATAAAACATTGCTGGATTTGTTAGTGTGTATAGGATAGAAGAACTAGGTCATCCGAGAAATCCAAACTGTTTAGCCTCATCCATGTAGTCTGTTATATCCAGTGCTTCACATGAGATGTGCTGGTCTTTATAATCCAGTCAAACACCAGTATGAGGCGAAAAAGTGAGAGTAAGCAACCTTGTGTGACACCGATCGTCACTTAAAATGCATCTTTGCACTGTAGTCCGTCGTATTAATTCCGTTCTACGTTGTCGGTGTTTTCAGTTATACCGTGGTGTTAACGAGATTCCATGAGGCCCACTTATCCACGCTGCCGAATGCTTTCTCATAGTCAACGGGGTTGATGTATAGTGATATACTATATTTCCCAACAGGTGTCTTCGTTGTATATCACAGTTGTCTCATATTTCCTTCTCTAGCAGCCTTTTTCACTGTCATTACTATGTCTTCTACGTCTTTCCGCCTGTCAGCTCTAATGCTTTTCTTCACTTTCTTTTTTGCTTGTGTATTCGGCTCTGTGTTTCGGCTTTCTCTTCTATTGTTTGACTTCTATTGACTGACGAATTCTTGTTTTTATTTTCTTGAATCCTGACTAGGGATTCGATAGAGATCCATTGCTTATGACGATGCTTCTTGAAACCCACTATCACATAACAAGTTGAAATTAGTGTTTCTATGATCCCTTATCAACTGTTCTTCATGCTAGTTTCGTCTTCTTTGCGTATATTTTGTCAGTATGATAACCCGTTGCTGAAAGCAATCTTGATTTCGTTGAGCATGTTAGTATCTAGAAGAAAGACTGTATTAAACTTTTGTAATGCTATTTCTCCAGTTATTCAGTGTTTCTTAAGCTTCAGTTTCATCCTGGTCAGGTGGTGATCTGAAGTTATATCAGCTCCTCTCTTCAATCTCAAGTTTTTCATGGACCTTCCGAATTTTTCAGTGATACAAATGTGACCAGTTTGATTCTACTTATGGTGGTCCTGTGAAACTCATGTTACTTGTACGTGCCTTTTTTAGTTGAAACAGTGCCACCTACAACGACGTTGTTGATAGCACATAGCATTACTAGTCTCTCATTAGTCTCCCTCCTCTTTCTCCCAGTCCATGTCGCTCCATGATGTCTTCAGACACGGTGTCATCCATACCGACTTTGATATTCAGGTTGACCAACATTGCCAGGTCTTTACATTGGTAGTTCTCTACGATTGACTGCAGCCTCTCATAAAACCGATCTTTATCATCTTCACCGCTGTCATTGGTGAGAGTGTAGCGTTCTCCAACCTTCATGGTAATTCCCTCGTCCTTTGTTTTGAGAAATGCTTTGACGATTCTAGATCCATAAGATTCTCATCTTGTATGTGCTTTTCATGCTTGTTTGGATACATCAGCCCAACTACTTGTGTATGCAAGTCATTTTCTTTTTCATGACCAGAGTACAACAGTACCTCCCTCTAAGCTAATATTTTCTATCCAGATTGGATTGAGTGGATTTTGCTTGACCAGATAATCGTCAAATTGTTTCTGCTCATTTCCGTATCTGTTTGAATGGTCCATCTGATCTCCACATTGTGCTGACATTCTATTCGTCTATATTAATTGTTTTTCTGGTTTTCAGAAGGGGCATTGGCCTCTCGGATTCAGAAGAATCTTGCCCTTTACCATGGGGCTTCATAATTATTCCAAATAAAGATCCTTTAACTCTCAGGACAGAGTTTAAATGATTCAAATAATTTTTTGGTTAGCATTCTTTTAGCAAGGTTGTTTTGTACGGGACTGGGTTCTTAACATCATGCCCGACCCTCCTTTATCCAGGCTTGGGATCGGCGGTAACTCTGGAACGGCTACAGGCAGATTTTGATGTTGATTATGGAGAATAAAACTCAGATCTTGCAGTTTATATGACCTTGTAGTCCATAATATCGTGCGTAGACTAATAATCTAGGTTCAACCGTTTATTAGATCGTTCTTTTCCTAAACCTACTGATGATTGCAGAGCCATTGTAATTGATAATGTCTATACCTTATGTTTATTTGTACTTAAAAGTTTCGTATTCTCTGATATAGTCGTGCAGCTTTCGTTATCGTTCTATGTGACAACAGCAGAACATGCTCTTCCTCATGAGATAAAGACATTATTTTTTTCGTTTATTAATTCACCCGAAACGGTCACAAAAATGTATGTTGAAGTAAACTTTTCCGTAATGAGGCTTCAAGCGATATTTTGTTTATCACACAGGTAGATAGTAACTCTAACTACAGTGAAAAACCCCTTTAGGAAACCGCTACAACAGGATATTAATGTACTAAGTGACTATTTCATATCATTATACCATAGTACACTATGTAATCGACGAAAACTGCACTTAAAATGTGTAACACAAAGAAAAAAACTAGTTAGAGTAAGCACATCATCATCAACGTAAAAATTAGATTAGAATAATCTATGCTGTCCCATAAATTTATTTTAACCTTTATTAGATTATCGGGTATATCAGCTAATGTGAGTTTTCAGTCCTTATTTCGTGACTCACATTAAGCTGTACAATTTTCAAGCTGGAAGTAACCTGGGTTCAGTCAAAATTTGGGTAAAACTCCTACAGAAGAAATAATAATTAATCTAAAGAAATTTCCGACTTAGCTAAGCTGCCATTATTTACGATAAAGTTTTCAATGCACGTACAGTTGGCCGCTAACACGATTAGACAAAAGACCAAAATCTACAAATGTTAACATTTTATGAATTTCAATGTGAGATTGTGATCGTTTATAGCCAGATTAGCGCTCATGAAGTTACGCGTTGTTATAATGAAATATTTACTGTATAATAACAAACGTCAAATGACATAACACTACTGTTAATTTAATTCAAAATTACATATCGTTTTTGTTATCTCATAAACAAGCCATCATCAATAATCAACAAGGGAAAATTCACCTAGTTACCACTTAGTAGTATTTTTATCCAAAGTCAAGTTCAACATCAGTGTGAGGAAACTAATCCCCAGTTATCAGAACTGTCTACTCCAGTTTTTTTTTCGGACTTAGGGCTTGCCCTTCTGATTTTGCTATCCAACTTATTATTTCCGACCAAAATAGTATGTCCTTTTACATTTAATATTTCCAAATGATTTGCACTATCTTGCTTTGTGAAACGTCGCTTAATAAGTACTGAGTAAAATTCAACAGTCTGAGAGTTATTTTTACCAAAGTTAAGACTACCAACACATGCACTGAATGTGAGTCTTTCTGTACATGACCTACTGAGTGGTATATATCCTTGATAAAAAGATCCTGATCAGAACCAAATGGTTATTAAATATGCGAACACTATTCACTAAAGATCATGAATAATAGGTTTGAAATGAATGTCCTCACTGTTCCATGACAAATTTCGAAGTTTTTAATGTGATAGCATTACGATAAACATTATCCAATATATTGTATGTGGAGCATCAATTGAAATAAAGTACCAGGTTCTAGTCAGTACTAATTTGGGTTCGAGTGTATTGTTTAATCAGTAGATAAGACTTTATACAGAAAATAGAGTCATTATTTGAAAGATTTCCGTAAACTTTGTGTACCTTTTAGCTTCTACTTATCTGATACATCTTTCAACTATCTAGACTGATTTGTGATATTATTCATCTAACATATTTAATTACATCTGTTATTGAGCGTGATTTTGTGCATGGCGCAGGTAATATTTTGTATGTAAATACTTCATATAATATATAGCATTCTCTCTCTATGTATTTAAATGTATCAATATAAGTACTCGTTGCAACTAAATACCATAAGTTCAACAGATTTTGGTATTTCCATATTCTCATTTTCGAAGGTCATGCCTATTTCTGTTATAACTTGCGTCCTTGTGACCCTATCAATATACGACGTAATGATAGCGCTAATTAGAGAACAGTGATTTATCGACTGGAACAACGACGCATAAAATCAGCACGAGCAGTCTAGAGTCTTTAGCGGTCCTTCCGGCCTAGATCTGCCTGTTAAGTCCAGAACACCAATCTAAGCCTCCAGGTTACGAATCATGTATTTCAAACATACTGGGTTTACATACAAACCAAACAGACCACAGCACACCATAAAATAGAAAATAACATTTGTATAAGATCTAGCTAGAAAGCCGCTGTGAGTGTGGGAGACCCTAATTAACTGACTGGACATAACTCAAGAACGGTAAATCGTATAATGATAGTCTATGAGTCAAAATACAGCTTATAATAAGAGGAACATGAATATATATAGTTTAGCTACTTATCAATTATATAATAAAAATATATGTGTCGTATTGGTCCATAAATAGTTCTCAAAAGTTGCCATTCACTATGAGAGCCATATGGTGTGTTGATTTGAATTTGAACTACACAGATGAAACAATTAATCTTGCTCTTATAATTCATGGTATTCCTGGATGGCTAAACGTTTGCTGTTGTTTTTACCGTATGCATGAAGGACAATATCAGGTGTTCGGTTTTGAAAATATCTTCATCACAAAATCTGGAGGTATTGGGTTCGAGCCCCCATTGTTTTGTGCGCGTCCTCTTGTCATTAGTGTGAAAATAGTACAAACGACTGTCTTACGCCTTTTGATATTTGATGATTCTTAGTAATGTGGTGTGTGCTACTTATGTCGACAGACATAAGTAGCATATAACGCCAATCAGAATTGTAATGCTTGGCTGTAGAAGGTTGAGAAGATGGAACTGAAAGGAACAGGGACGTAAACAGAGAGCATTTATGATAGTAATGAAGAAACGATGGAGTTTGAAACAATTGATGGAAGATTTTGAAATGAAGTATTTAATGTATGATTTTCACAATGTACCAAATAACTTTGTAAATTTGCGCCAGGTAATATATTTGTTTTCCTCACTTGAGATCTGGTTCACTTTAATACCAGTTTGCAATAAAAGTTATCCTTCTAACTAAGTATTTCCGGTGAAGTTACTTGCGAAACGCACCATTCATCGATAAAAATAGTTTTTGGTGCACATTTATCAGTTGATCAAAGTAATTGATTTTAGATTTTGTATATTGAATATGGGCGAGACTAAAGAACATGGTCGACCTTTGAACGAATCTTAAATGACCTTGAGAAATATTAGCCAATCAGAAGACAGTTATCATACAGTAAAAATATATTATATAAAACTCAAAAATTAAAGGGGATACTGTTCTTTTACATGAATCAAAAACTTATCAAGGTCAGATATAGGTTCAGAAGTTATAGAATCATAGTGCATACGGCATAGGAGCTCATCCTTGTGGCTCCATAGTAGTCGACCTCATGAACCATGAAAAAGTCCCGAAAATTCTTTCAGCCTCGACCACATAGTCTCAGTGTTGTCGGTATGTTGGTATGGTTTAGGGTTTAAGATTAGGGTTAAGGTTTAGGGTTAAAGATGAGACTATAAATTATGGATGGCATTTGAGCGACGCTAGAGTGAATCTGAGAGTGTCAACGTAATAACTAAGACTAAATGAGGGTTATAAACCCGTGTGAAGAATTCAAATTATGATTTACAGTTCATAGTTAAGGTTAGGAATTATACTTAGGGTTTTCATCACGAACTGACATCAGCTATAATGCCAAATGTATAATTGAATTTTGCGCCAAAACTTATGATAACCTATCCTGTATACGCTTAATTATCATTTTTTTCTTTAAAATCCGTTGTAAACCGACCGTACGTAAGCGTCAGGTACCGAACTTAGCGCCGTGACCTTGAAAACCCGCGAAAGCTTCTGATTGGCTCGTCCATGTTCTTTAGTCTCGCCTGAATATGAAGGTCAGCACTTTAAAAGAGGGTCAGCCAGTTTTAGCCAGTCAAAATTTAAAATAGTATTGTGTTGTATAAAACGTAGTACTTTTATGGGACATCTGGTTTCACTTAAATTTTGCAGTATGTAATTGGCGTTTAACACAGCTGGTATTCCAAAAAATCTCTGGCGAATCAAGTTTTCAGTTTCCGTACAATTTTAAGTTGACGTGATACATTTTACCAATACAAGTCACTGAATAAAAGTAGTCCGAAATATATGACGTCTTCCTACAGTCACTAGTGGTAACTTACAGTCCAATCAACTTATATAAATACTGAATCAGCTGGACAAGTAAACTGCTTAATAATTGATTTATCACATACAGAAACTATCAAATTCTTATTCTTGATTTTGTTTTTAATCTAATGTCATTTGTGTTAGCGAACCTGAATGCAATCTATATAGCTAAATAAAGATTTAAGCCGTGAGTTTCAGTGTAAGCAGATTTTGTAAACACTTTCAACGATCCATTCGCCAGCAAACTGTAAATCCAGCAGCCAATATTCGACAATACAGCTCACATGATATCTCAAATGTTTGAAATAAATCCTGATTAAAAGGCCTAATGTTTGTTAAATAGTAACAAGAGAGGCTAAATAAAGTAATATGCGATGAAAAATCTTTTCGTGATATAATGTTCTGGATACATAATGAAGTGATAAAAGTGAAGCATTGTAGTTGAAAAGTTTTTAACTTACGGCTAACTTATATTTAGAGTGATAAATGATACAAATTTCGGGACGTTTTGAAACAATTTCATTTAACTGTCGTCACTAATGCATGATAAAATATGTACTGCCTTATCTTAAAGTTTTATGATTGTTGCTTTGAAAAATATCACAACCGACTGATATCCCTAAAGTATTACTACTAAAAATGCTTGACATACTTCTGGTTGTTACTTTGCCTCTCACTGGACATCTGTATCTCGGAAAGATGTTTGGCATTATGAATAGAATGAACAACACTACGTTCTTTTGAGTTGAACAAAGTTGATGCCTCTTAACACCCAAAAACCACAAATTAAGTAGCTGCCTACACAAGCATTTTGACTAATTTTCTATTTTTCAAAAAATGTATCTTAACAAATTTGAGTAAATAATATACTCATGAGACTTAATTCAACTACTTTGTGAGAACTATTACGTCCATTTTGAAATAAAGAAGAAAAAAATGTAGAGAAAATATGGACTTTTACTAGGCTTCCAGCTTTTCAATCTCCTTGCTTATGTTAATTATAAACACCAGTAACATTTCAGAAAAGTTGAACTTGTTTCGCCGATCAATGTAAATTCTATCCTACTGTTGAAGTCTATGCTTCACTTATTTTAAAAAATTTTATTTCAATTTATCATTAGTGACTCATTTTTAAATTAGTCCATCGCTTTCCATGCTGTTTGAAATTCTTATGCTCAGGAAAACAAGACAGCTTTACGAAAGTATAAAAAAGTGTATAATAATGTCGTCTTTTGCATTTCGTATGTCGATACCTATTATTTAGTGCGAGATTCTTCGACAGTTTTATTCATATCCACTGAAACTAAAAGTTTCCTCATTGGTCATTTTATCCCTATTTATACGTTGTTTTAAAGGAAATGTGTGTAAAAAGTTAAACCCCAATTGAGCCTTGTAGTTTGATTGAGGATTAAGTGAGTGATATTCACAAATTGGTTACTGACCCGATACCAACTCATAAAGAAGTTACCTACGCTTTATTACTTCATTACAGTCAAGCCAAAAGCTCGGGGTGCATAAATTGTAGTCAATATGCTTTTATCACAAACTATCTTTAGTATAATATAGGTTTATAATAAGCTGACTCATATAGTTTCTAGAGAGAAGGTAATTTACAAAAATCTAAACAAGAACTTTTATAAATCTCTTAGATTTCATCTAAGGCTTAATTATCAGGTGTATTTAAGTTGTCTGATTGTTTATCCAAAATATTTGTTTGCTAAATGATTGACTAATCCTCTCTCAATGTACAATTTTCATTTCGACTTTTAGGTACCAAGCAGTTTGATTCCATCCGCTTTGCGGCTTATCGTACTGCGAGCAAGCTTAGATTTATTCAGCAGAGAACATTATGTAAGTTGAATACCAAGTGTCAGACTTATTTACTGAACTAAAATACCAATTGTTTCTATCCAATTGTCATTAGAACTAGAAAGCTAGTGACATTTCACGATGAATTATAAAAGGGTTTTTCTAAAATATAACGAAAGAACTATAAGCTTCGACTGAGTTTTTAAATCCTACTAAATGGTGTTAAAGGAATCTGTGATAATTTCTAATTTTGCTGTTTTTGTCGTACTATTATAAAGAAACAATGATTTTCTTAGTTTAGTTATAGTCGGTCAAGATGTATGTTGTGATCATGTGTTTCGTTACTATGATGATGAAAAATCTCTAAGTATTACTTTTCTAACTGTCGTTCATCTCAATAACACCATACGTTTAGGCTAATCTGGTATTACTAATGCAAAGAGAAAATAAATAAGGATGTAATTATGTAAGAAACCTCAAAGGAACACTGTATTTCACAGTCGAATAAAAAGAATATATTTGAAATTCCCTGGGGAAATGTGGCTTAGTTTGGAAAATGAATGTGAAGAAACCTGAATATTCACGATTGCGAAAACTAATGACACAATCATGACTGAATGTATGCTCTATAATACGAGTTTTAAATGGTTTATGGGTGTAGTTGGTAAACATGTTGTTCATTTAAATAATACTTGCTTTATTTCAAAGTGATTTCTTGATGTAACAGTTACTTATACAAAATGAATATACACACCAACCATAAATGATATCAGTAGTAACAGTTTGTTAATAACTTGAAATTTCGATGTTGACACAGTTTAAATTCTAGTTAAGCCAGAAAATGAAATTATGAGTTACACATTTGTGAAAAATCCATTGAGATAGAAATTCAGCTGAGTTTATTTCATTGATTAGAATTTTTGGAAACAATTTTCGACTGCACAGGAAACAAACTAATAGCATTGCATTATCTTGCTGTAGTTGTGAAAGAAATAGACTTGCTGAAAGTGCACGACAGCTATTTGTATAATTTCTAGTAAGCTGTGGTTTAAAGGTATTGCACTTGTTAGTACATCCTTCAATTCCCCTTCATCTTTCCTATGGACAAGTGTTACTGAATTTTTAAATGACCATGATTATTTACTGTTGTCGACACTTTAAAATTCTTGAATGAATAACATCCACTTATACAAATGCAATCTGTAAGGTTAAATATGTTCCGGATCAAAATAAATTATTACAGGCTATTCAATTACATAAAACCCCTGTGATTTACCGTAAAAATACTAAATATTTAAGATGGTTGTGTAATTATGATTGACTTGCCTGTGGATGATAAATCACCTAAACGTTCCACTGCTAACTTAAGATTTTCATTCATCCTGTGTTTTCGGCTAATCTTTTTACTAGTTATTTTATAATTTGTCAATGTACCCAACTAAGATTGAACATGATAAGCAAAGATGGATCGATGGGAAGATTCAAACAATACTAAATGAATTTTAAGGTTGAACGGTTTCAAGAAACTTGAATTATCAAAGCGAGTAGATTGAAAATATCAAATCTATGCATTTAAAAGTGAATTAAACCCGAAGAATTGTAGCCACCACCTTATAATGTCAACCGAAACACTATTTGCCCACTTATACTAGAACTAATTTGTTGTAAAATGAAATCAGGAAAATCCTACTTTTTATGTGTTTCGCTGTTCATGTTTCCGTTATGGATGGATTATCAATATTTTTTTCAATTTTCAAACAAACATACTTTTGTGTTTTAGTTCATATATTGGTTCATCACCCTTCACTAAGTAATTAATTTAGAAGACAAATTCGATGATAATTAGTCATTTCAAACACGTTTTCATCATAAATAGTGAATATGGTTTAGAAGGTTAACTAAATCTAGTGATTATATAACACGTTTCTCTTGTCACTTGAAACGTTTCATTAGTACTTATAGCGATAAAAAGCTAGTAAATTCATTTAAGGTACTGAAATGAACACCTATTTATTAGCCTTCAGACTTACGTTGCTAACTAATTTTAAAGTGAAAGTTAACGTTTACACACATCGAAAGTTTGCATTAGTGTATTATTTTATTTACATGATCAGAACATATCTGACGTACAATATTCGTTTGATTTTCAAACAACAACGATTTCATTCTTGAGTGTTGTGCTTGAATCTGAAAATTTTTAATTAAATGGAGATTTTATGCTGTTCTAAACACAGAATCAACACAACAAGTTTACAGTAAACAAGGACTATTGGCATAAGATTGAACTCAGTTTGATAAGTTTAAATAATTTAAACAATTAATAACTGATATGAAAACAAGCTATCCATCAATAAACAAGAAATCGTTTAAGACTTCAGTTAGAATGAAAATACTTGAAAGATTTCTTAATGTTAAGTTATGCGCAGGGATATTGTTAAAGATAACTTTGTTTTGCAAAGAAATAACTAATTAAGAAAGAGAGAATTCATTTTATACTGAATTTATTGTTATTTTTGAAAAATGAAAAGAAACTGTGATGTTTACAAGTGTTACCAAAGTAGATAACTATTGATTCCATTTTCACCCCTTCAACGTCTTTAAGGCAAGTAAATATGAGTCAGAATGCTCAGTTAACTCAAGTAACTTGAATTTGCTTTCCGAAGTATAATTTATTCAAAGATGCAGCATCTGAGTTTTAACATTTAATTTACTCAACCTTTACTTTTAATTAGAAGATAACACAAAATCATTTACCTTTAAGTATTGTTTATCTGACATATCAGATACTGGCAGTTTCTACATTGACACTTTTTGATTAGCCTACTTTTTGAATTGTGTTTAAAAAGTATTGTCATGTAGCTGTGTATCTGAGCAAGTGAAAATGATGCTCAAAAATACTTATGCTTCCATGCATTCAATTAACTGACTCTAGTATTATGATGTTAACACAAAATCTGAATAAACTTTATATAATGCAGTTTACTCGTTATTTCATCCAACTTTAACCTAAATTACTTCTGATGTGAATGACCATAATTCAAATTAGCTACGGTTCAGTTTATTTGTTTTTATTGTTATCTTTCTAACTTACCGATAGTTTGTGTTCAGTCAATGCCAGTATGCCACGGTGTCTTGAAACAATCGCTCATATATTACTGAATAATCCAGTCGTTCAATGATAGTGACACTTATTTTCCACGTTTACATTCTGTAACCATTACTGACCACTCATTTTGAATTTGTTCCGTGACTTTTGAGAAACGCTAACAAAAGATCCTGGGTCTTTTTATTAACTGATAACCTCACGAATCGAGGCTTTTATCAATTATGAAACAGACCTAAAGTTTACTCAGGATTCTACATATCAATTTACGATTGAGCAAACAAAATTCAAAAACTACGTAGAATCAATGACTCAGTCTGTTTACTAGAAATGCGCGAGAAGTTAGATCCTAACGGGAACATAATCTTCCTTCCATATCATTAGTACAAAAGGGTTTAGATTATTTTGTTATTTATATTGTTGACTGCATTTTGACTAGCCTTTGTTGGAATATGAGCATCCTATATGCATTACTATTTTGTCACGTTATGTAGGATAGCTAGTCTGTAGTTAGCAATGAAATCCAGCAGTTAAATGTTGGAACTACACAACTGTGGTATTCCAAACCAATTAGTTGCGTGAGTCTTTATCGGCTTCATAGTCTTTGAAACTACTGATAAACATCATAAATTATTGAAATAAACCGGCCGTTCACAGAAAAGTAATTAGAATCACATCATCTACTTCTCAGTGACAAACAACAATACTAGGTTGCAGGTACATTTGTCTGACGAGTACTTAATAAGACAAAACTCTGATCCTGGATTCCACTGCTAGCCACAATCCATCGAATCTTATTTTCATGTTTGCAGAACGATGAAACCTTCTGCCAGCTGAATATAAAATAAATGTATCACTTTTTACACACTAAGTTAAAACCCATTGAGTAGAATCTATAAATCAGTGTCGTAATTTCTCAGTGCTTATCAGATGGAAGCATTTTTATCCCACTGGTTATTGAAGTTTCCTAATATTTTTGGATCTTATCAACCATATGGTCAGTCTTAGACTTTACAAAGTTGTTGTTATAGGCTAAAATGGACACACTTAATATTGTTCGCAGCATTTTTTTCAACTTTCATATCCTTCCAAATTTTCTCAATTGATTTATTTTCAGTGTTATTACCTAACACCTACTTCAGAGAAAATGTCATTTTGACTATTGGCTAGAATCCATTCTTGATTTACAGAATATTGTGTGTACTGAGAAAAGAAGTAGCAAACAGTTTTTTTTAAATCGAAGTTTCATTAAATAAAATTTATTTATGCCGATTGTACAGTTAATCATTTTGTTCATCAGTATACAAACAATTTGAAGTTCGATTTAGCTAAAATTTCCAGAAGTTATAAAAAGTTGACATAATTATCGATTTCAAAATAACTAACTTTTGAATCTTTAACCTCTAACTTAACTTTGTAGGGAAAATTTCTTTTCATCACAATATTTCTTTCTATTTAGGAGAGCAAATCAAATAGTTTTTCTCTTTTGGCAAGCATAGATAAAACCAGAGTAGTAAATGGTATAATAGAAATATAGAACACACATACCTATATGAGAGGTGGTGGCTGATGAGAAAGACGAATTCTCGCTTGCTACATTTTCATTGCTAGTATTGTTTATGTCTATGGCCTAAGTGTCAGTTCAACACTCTTTTTTTGTCCTTCTGATTGGAATTTCCCATGCTCATAGCCAGTGAAATGCATGTAGATAAGATTGTGTGTCATATATTTGCTTGCCTCAATCAATATTATCAATAAACCTCGGTCTGTCCAATAATTTTTATTCTTAAACGTGTGTTTCCAGTATTTTCGAAAATTATATTCGTGTTGCAAATCATCTAAAGCTAGGTGATACAGGGAAATTAGACGTATGTTACGGAAAATTATGACTGTAAGCAAAGTGGCAAACATATTAATTTGAGAACACTGATTTCAACTT